TTCTTTATCTTCTTTAACATCTTTAATTATTTTTTCAATTATAGGAGGTGTAAAATACTCGTCTCGTTCCCCGAATTATTATTCTTTTGAATTACTGTATAGAAACAAGGGGTTTAATAGTAGCCCATATAATGAAAGATATAGGATGCTTACTCCTCTTGGTGAATACATAATTTCATTTTATTTCACCATAATGTATCTTGCAATCTCATTAACTTAATTCTATTTTAAATATAGTGCACGGAATTTTGGGTCAAAGAAATTTGAAAGGAAACTCTGAAATAATAGACAACGAATATCGTATACTTATGCAAACTCTTTGTAAAACTTCAGAGAACACAAAAGATGGTTTTTATCCAAAAACTTATTTTCATCATACTGCATTTAATATTATCTCTTTATTCTGTTGGGGTAAACGTACAGAAAGTTATGAAAATCCAATTTATAAAGAATTTAAAGGTTTAATAGATGTTCAGTTATACCTTGTCGCAGTAACAAATAGAGTTTCGTCATTTTTCCCAATATTAAAATGGTTGCCGAGAAATAAATTGTATAATATGGTGATTAATAGTAGAACTGAATCTGAAGCTTTTTTTGAAAAAATAATTAAAGATGTTAAAGAAGATAAAGAAAAGAGACCCTGTGCTATTAGAGATATGCTTAACAAAGTAAACGAAGGTATATTGGATGAATATGATATTATTCATGTTTTTAATAATTTATTTGTTGCTGGAACGGTAAGTATTTAAATATTATAAAAAATATTATAAATAAATAAATCATGAAATTTAATAAAAATTAATATTTTTTTTCTTTTACAATATTTAGGACTCAGTTTCTTCAAGTTTGACATGGCTCACCGCTGTTTTAGCTAATCATCCTGAAATTCAAGCTAAAGCTCACCAAGAGCTTGATCAAATAATTGGTCAATCTCGTCTACCAAAGATTTCTGATGAACCAAACCTTCCTTATATACGTGCTATAATTAAAGAAGGCCAAAGATATTGTGCTCCCGTTTATCTTTCTGTGCCTCATTATATTGAAGAAGAAGATGATTATAATGGCTATCATATTCCAGCAAATAGTGCTGTAGTTGTAAATCAATATGGAATTCATATGGATGAAAAACGTTATGAAAATCCTAAAGAATTTAAACCCGAAAGGTTTTTAGGATTTAAAGAAAGTAGCGCCGTTTTTGCAAATGGAAATTATGAAAATAGAGATCATTTTAGTTTTGGTGCTGGAAGAAGGCTTTGCACTGGAATTCATTTGGTAAATACATAAAATAGTAAATAATGTATATTTAAATTATTTTTTTTAAATTTATTTTTAATTTATAATTTAAACACAGGCTGAACGAGAACTTTTCATGGGAATCACGCATCTTCTCTGGTGCTTCCGAATTGAAAACGCGTCACCATTAGGTGAAGATGGTAAACCAATACCAATTGGTTTAGATATTGAACGTTTTGCTGTTACTGTTTGGCCTAAAAAGTTTCATGTTAGATTTGTAAAAAGGCATGATAATGTCGATAAGGTTTTATTTAATTCGAATTAATATTACCAAAAACTAAAATTAATCTATTGTAAAATGTAAGAAATTTCTATTTAATTAAGACAATATAACTTAGTGCAGATATGTATTTTGTAACACACTTTATCATTATAACAAAATGAAAATATGAAAAATATAGTTCAACCCTATATTAAACGCAATTTTACACATAACAGCACTAATTCTAACAAAAATGCCCTCGCAAAATAGCGCCCGTAGGTATTGTTTCGAATAATGGCCCAAATTAAACTTAATTTTGGCCAGAACACTGATCATATTGTTGAATCAATTTTCAGATGTATATTTGATAAAATACCCAGATCACTAAATCAAGATTAGAATTGTTGATGAAACTAAATTGAGCTGGTGAAACTGGTGACCATCTAAAATCTGATTGGTTGTTTACTACAAAAGCCAATCAGATTTTAGATAGTCACCAGTTTCACCAGCTCAATCTAGTTTGACCAACAATTCTAATCAAGATCACGATGTATTTTTATTACTAATACGCTAAAATACTTTCTGTCTCATGAGAGATCTATATAAGTGTCTCGTAAGATATGTAAAATGTATGCTAAATTTATCTCACATGAGGCATATTTCTAATTCAAAGTCAACTCAGCTCCGTATAAATAAAACTGTTTCAACTTTTAGCAACAATTTCTTTCTACCTTCTAGTTGTGCAGTAAATAATGATTTAAAAAGAAATTCATTTGTTCTTACAAAATAATAGATTGCTACGAATTCGCAAAATTTTAAACGTACTGTATTTTCGCGTAATAATGTGTTATTTTGAAATAAATATCACCTAAAAATACTAATGCATTTTGTTCCTTTTCTCAGCACCTAGCCCATTTAAAAAGCATGTTAACTGGTTAAAATATTTATATATCAAATTCTATTGTCATTTTAATATAGCCTCGGCAGGAAACAAATTAACTATATTTATAAAATGATCTTATCCAAGTTGGCTGCTATTTAACAATCTTCAGGAATATCAAAACTATAGCAGTTAGACGAAACCTTTTTTGCTTGATGACGAAAGTCGAAACTTAAGCTCTAAGTGATGAAACCTCTGTCGAAAGTCGAAACCTCAAATCCTTCTGACGAAAGTCGAAACTCAAATCCTTCTGACGAAAGTCGAAACCCAAACTTAAAGTGACGAAACCCTAG